TTTTTTCTTGACAGGGTCTCGCTATACGGTTCAGGCTGGCCCTGAACTCGCTATGTAGCCCAGGCTGGCCTCTAACTCCCAGGGATCCGCCTGCCGCAGCCCCCTGAGTGCTGGGACAGCAGGCCTCCGGCTCTCTCATTTTACAGGTACAGCGGTCCTCGCTGCAGATTTTTTTCTTCGTTTTCCACAAAGCTACACATTGAATCACAGACTCACCCAAAAAGAACTCCCCCTGTCGGTGCCTGCCTGTGGCACAGTGCTCTCCCCCGATCTCCCCCGTGCTCAGACTCCTACCGGGTTTCTCCTTTACCTGCTTAGCTTTCGTTTCTCTCTTCCTTGTATTTCAGCTTGCTTTCATCTTGTTACTTTTAGGCCTAACAAGGAAGGGCTTCTGCCGGGCTGGAGAGCCGCACCCACTGTTGTCCATCTCTTTGCCCCTTTCTTGGATGCCCTCCCTTTCTCCTTGAGTTGCCTTCTGTGTCACACCTTTGTGACCATCTTTCCAAATGCTTTCCACAAAATTTAAACCTCTACATCCTTTTACCAAACCATTTGCTGCCAGAATATAAAAGGAGCATGTTAGTCTACTGCAGCTTAACAACACAGGTGCCTGGGCATGTTTCAGAAATTTGCAGGGGAGTTTGGGGCTGTCACAATCACTGAGGGATGGAAGGAGACACTGGCCTCATACTGATTTGCTGGACAGCCTGCAATCCAGGAAGCCAACAGACATTTTTTTTTAAAGAGGAAAAAAAATAAGAACAAAGACAGAAACAAAGCAACATAAAACAATAAAGATGGTATAGAATTTCAAAACAAGAATAGAAAATTAGGGCTGCAGAGGTAGCTCAGCAGTCTAAGCCCCTGCCTAGGCAAATGTTCAATTCCTGGCACCACATGCCTCTCTGGCTCCACACCCTGGGCACTCCGAGCAGCCACCAAGTGCAGGTGTGGTTGTCCACACCTGTAATTCCAGCTCTGGGGAAGTCTGAGCTCTATAGTGAGACCCAGTACCAAATACATAAATTTTTTTTTAAAAAAGAGGGCTGGTGAGATAGCTCAATGGACTAAAGCGCCTGCTTTGGCAAATGTGTAAAAACCAAACTGCCAACAGTTTGCCCTCATGATGTTTGAGCCCCAGGGGATCGACCAGGGTTCAATCCAGGCGTGGTGGTGCAGGCCTGTAATCCCAGCACTGGGAAGACTGAAAACAGGAGGCTCACTATGAGTCCGAGCTGGGTAGTGAGACTCTGCAGCAAACACACAAATGAAAAAGAAAAGAAGAAAGAGTAGAAAATTCACAGTGGTTGTTACAGTATGTATTGTTATCCAATTTGTGGCTCAGATTACCAGATATAGGCATGCAAGATTGATGAAGCCATTAAACATGCTTCCGTTCAATAAACATTCATTTTTTTTCCTTGTCCTTTTAACCTTTTTTTAGAATTTTGAGACAGGGTTTCTCTGTGTAGCCCACCCTACCCCACATTTCTGGGTAGCCCACAACGGCCTTGAGCTGTCATTCTCCTGCGGCAGCCTCTCAAGCTCTGGAATTACAGGGTTGTGCC